AAAAACCAAAATAGTTTGCAAAAGAGCATATATTCGCTAATATTTCCGCACTTTTATTCCCCATAAAAAATAAGAATCGCTCTGTCGGAACCGGTTAACATTTGGTACAATTAGTTCAATTCGGAAAGTGTGCAACTTCCAGGCATACAGACATTACAACCTTGGGAAAGCTGTCTAAATCTCGAATCAGCGGCACCCACACCTAGAGGGGTTTTTATGCCGAATTACCAGTTAGTTGTTGCCCGAGTTCGGACAAAACTCACCTTTCAACACTGGGTTTTAGGATTCGACGGAACGAAACAACGGACAATAGAAGATGGCACCATTTTTCCCGTTTAGTAAACTATGTGCCTGTAGCACTTGGTGGCATTCATCCACCTGTGGCAGCAACTCGCTAATAGGTTCAGACAGACGATTAGAAATGATACGGCCTGTCATTTCGCTCGTATTCCACATGATGGAAAGTAGACTTTAGATGAAGGCACCGGATGACTGATGGGCAGTGAGTCAGTAGAGCTGGAGCGCAAGATAAATCTTGTCGAACATGCGCTGCATCAGCCTTGTACTACATGATTGTGTTTGCAGACGGTTTGTTAGGAACAATGGGCCATAGGGCAGTCAGACCAAAATGCCATTGTAAGAGTGAGTTTCGTTTCATTTCCCTCCTTCTGTATGAGTGTTTTGCAACTGCCTTTCAGTCACACAGGATAGAATGGGTAACCCTACTTCCGTTTGCTAAAGTTAGTCTGGAAAGGTTTAGAAAAATGCTGAGCCGAGCTGCCTGACCCTAAGACATGTTTGTTTTGATGAAATTCCAATGAGCAGTACCTGTTGCGAACAAATATTACAGTTCACTCAGAACAGTCGCAATATAAAGGGCGGAGTTACTCCCCTAGTAATTCTTCTGTAAGAAGCAATATCTTCAGCCAAAAGCGTTACCTACCATGAATAGTTTCAGTGTTTTCAGTCAGTTTCTCAATCGATTGGTTCATTTCTCGCCGATTTCGGTCCCTTTCACAAACAATCTTTTGGACTCACGTGGAAAATACTTGGAACCGAATGGGTAATCATCGTTTTCGAAAAAAGTTTGGTGATGATCGGTAGATGTATTGCTGGGCAACGTTTCGCTTTTGACACAAAAGCTTCGTCAANTTTGACACAAAAGCTTCGTCAGGCCAAGTGACTAGGTTCCGAAGTTGGTCGAGATTTAAGGCGGAAGGAGAACCAATCAGCTAAATCAAGCTATATCTCTGTTGGGTGTCAGCCGAGGGATTTTAGTGTGTTAGAGTGGTTGAACAAGTGTTGGGTCGGTGGGGAAACCTACATGTTTGGGTACAGCCTAGGGTCTAGTTCTTCTGGTGCGGTTCCTTTGATGGTACCTCTTGAACTTCGTTTGAACCTTCTGTCAGTCTATGTGGGTGAGCTAGTGCTAAGATAGTTGGGTAAGAGGGATTCTGTGACCTTTGGTCGGGTTGGGATTTCCACCCTCATCCCCCGGTTTTTTCTAATGATCCTAAGTGGATTGACAACCACACCGTCACGTGTCAACTCGGATAATATAAGACCGCTTTCCAAACGCTCGCTAGCTCCACACCCTCGATTCTATTCACGCTGTGATGCTTAGTAATTTCCACCGCCTCGGTTATCAGCCGCTGTGGTATGAATCGCAGTCCCCGTCTCAAAACTTCCACACTCTTCAGATCCATTCTGCGTCCCGTGTCTAAGGCGTGTACCGCCATCGCTGAGTATTTGACCAGCGTTTGGTATTCTTCTGCATTCCTTGGTGATTTGTTAATTCTTCTTTTATGCTCATCAATTCTGGTGTGCAATTCCCTGGCAGTTTGTCCTATATAAACCTTAGCACAATCGTTGCAGTTAATTTTGTACACAGTCCCTAGTGCTTTCAGCCGGCAGGGGATCTTTCAACTGCACCAAAACTGAGCGTAGCGTTTTTCCCTTCTAAAAAGTTACTCGAATGTTGGCTAAGTTCAACAATCTTCGAATAACCTCCGATGTTCCTGCTTTATATGGAATGACTGCTGTACCAATCCATTCCTCGACCAACCTCGGAACCTAGTCACTTGGCCTGACGAAGCTTTTATGTCAAAAAAGAAACGTTACCCAGCAATAAATCTACCGATTGTCACCAAACTTTTTTGAAAATCTTTTGGATTGTTTCAACCCCTTTATAGGTCTGAGTAGTCTGAGTATGGTGGACGTCTGTTTTCCCAATTCTCCCGCTGTACGAATTCGATTGTTCTGCTAAAAGCTGGTAGGAATTGACTAATAGTATGCCCTAACTGAAGCCTACATGCGGTACAGTCTTCTGCATGCGAGATTTAACCTCCATGCAACTTTTTCCTATGGCTTCCTCCATTTGTTTGCTTTCTTTCTCCAACCTCTCGTGGATGTTGCTGGTGGAAGTCATTCATCTTAATTCGCACGCGCCCTACCCCTTTCTTCGTCAGTGGGCCTAAAAAAGTTCCTACAGCAGCACATTTTGATTTTCTGATGGTTATCACGACGAACTGGCTGACCAGACAGCTTGACCGCAAAAAACGACCGAGTAGACGAGAGACAGAAGTGGCATGGAAGAGTGGCATAAGTTGGTTTCCGTCATTCAGAACGTCGCAACCGTCGAAAATGCGAGAGAAGTAACCATTACCCGATTATCAAGATTTGGGCAATTGGTAGGTCAGATGAATCGCCCGATGTCTGGCACCGGTTGGTTGACGGAAGTTAACCGGTACAGATCTCGCATTCCTTGTTGTTTTGTTTTTTTAGACAATAAGGAACACATTAAGTCTTATCTAACAGTACTATTAGACGTATTGGATCTATAGTTGACGCCGCTACACCTTGGCAACAAAATTACAATATATAACGGTGCGAGAGTTACGGTGTTTACATAATCTACCTTAACCCTACCCGTTCTCTCCTGACGCTATCACTCAGCTAAGTTCACAGCAAAGTAGATGGGCAATGAGTTCTATTTTCATGCTTATCGGACCTTAGCATGGTTGGCGGGTTGCGAGTCCAAGAACTTTGACTTTTAAGGTGAGCCAAAACAGGAGTATGTAGACGATTTTCTGTCAAAAAGGTCAAATTCCTGAAACTAATCCCAGAATGCAAGAAACCTGCTGAAATCCTCAAACCCCACTAGCAGGGAAGCTGTCAGACACCCAAGCCAGAAAGGCCAGCTGCCGATTGGATGCTGAAGCAGTCAATCAATTCAGCAACGCCTGAAAATGATGAATGTTCAGGCAACTCATAGATGCATGGCCGGCGATGATTAGGGTTCACCCAACGCCAATCGGACAGCCTAGATCAAGGTCAAAATGCGATTTGAATATCAGGACAAGGGGAAAACTGTCTTAAACACAGTGAAATGTATCTTAAAATGAGAATTCCGAAGGAGTGATAATATACTACTAGTCAGTAGCTTGTCTGTCGTGAGTGTTTGCTCCAAGCCTTTCAATCAAAATTAAGCGAATCTTAGATTTTCAACTCCCAAATAGTTATCGAAAAGCCACTCAATGTTAACTACTTTTAGGTTTTGGGCGGTCTAAAATATGTCTCAGAAAACTTCTGAACGGTCTAAAAGCACCGGTGATTGATGTCATTTTGGGGAGACCAAATTTGTTGGAACTAATTCGACGTTTATGGAGTAGTTGATGTCACCACAACTTAACGAACGTCCTTTGTATGCCAAGACTTTACGTCATCCTGATAGATGGACCTCCACAGCATACTAGTTGATCTTCAGAACGTGGACAGGAGCGGTGAAGTCCATTCGAAGGTCGGATTACAAATAACAGGATTAGTGCAAATTCTTTGAGCGGTAGAGGGAAGGCGGTTCCGCGGGACCAATTTAGGTGACAGGCCTCTTCACAAAGTGGTTTCCTATTGGTTAAGTAGAGGGATCATCCGAACAAACTGCACGGTTCGTAGTCTACAAAAAATGGACTTAATCACTTAGACAGACCATTATCTATCACAACAAGTATTTAGACTGATTTGGGCTGAAGCTGAACGCATGGAAACAGTCCGCATCCGGAGTTGTGATGGCATTCTACGGTACGTTCTACCTTGTATCTAATTTGTCCACAGGCTATGCGTGGAAAGGCTATGGCATGGGACTACTGAAAAACAGTGGCTTGCAAATGTGACTCTTTTGGTTCGGATTGCTTCCGACTTACTCCGGCAAGAACCAACTACTCACTCACTACCACACTGAACTGGTGTTAGCTATCAAGAGACGTGAAGAACATTCAGACCAATGTCTGGTTCGCGATTATGTTTAACCCAGCCAGTAGCGCAAAGATATCCCGGGTCCACTTGAACCGATGTTCATGAAGACTTGCTTTGGTTCATAGACTTGGCCACGTTGAACGGAGGATCTGAGATATCTTTAGGCCTTTGACCACCGTTACCTCAGAACTACGGCTGGTATCGACTGAAGCCAGCGAATTCGCTGAAGCAGACGTTACTTCACCAAACCGAAATCAAAATAAGTAAGTTGGCTAATTCGGAGAGACAATAGCGTAGGTGTGGACGGAATTTGATATGGCGGAGCAATTGAGGGCTGTTACGGGAAATTTGGGTGCTGTTCGCCTTCCACTTGACTTCAACTAGCCACATTTGAAGGTTACCTCGCCACCAGCATACATCACCGATACGATCGTCGAACAACGGTTAAGATTCAAGCTGCCTATTCGAGCAATAGATAAACCAGGAAAGTCTATAGGCTCCCAGTTTGCTACCTCAGTCACAGCATTTGGTCGGGTCCATGGAGATACTGAGCAGGCAGACAGAGTCCCGTGACAAGCAAATATTTAACTGCTACTGTTACGACAAAACGCACCGAATCCTGCTGCTTTTGTGACTGATTAAACCCTTCTGATACCTTGATTGCCTCTATTTTGTACCAAGGAAATGGCGGTATGAAGGACGGTAAGAAAGGGAAAAGATTAGTACTTCTCCGCCTTTATAAGCAAAGTCTACTGAACTTCGGGAAACCGAGTGCTCTGTCTCGAATAGCATATACGACAAATTCAGACACGTAGTTACCAGAATACTTCAAACGATCTTCGTGTCACTTGCATGTGAGCCTAAAAATTGGATTTATTACCGGACCACAGGTTATGGCAAAAACCCAGCATGTTGCTTCAGTTAGTAGAATAGCGAAACAGCATCAGATCTACCGATTTTTGATTGAATCACCATTGAATTGGCTCATCTAAAAAGGTGATGGTTCCCTGTGTAATTGAGCTACAAGTTTGTGACATTCGATTTGACATTTCGTGTGCTTTACAACTGACAAACCACAAACCAGCAGTATGCAGTTCCGAAATGTTGAATCACTCTCAAACAGGCTGGAAAATAAAACAGACGAAACCGAGTGGTTCTGTAATTGGACGTTTGCTCACGTGGATGAGTAATCAGACCAAACCATCCAATAACATGTTGACAACCGCCTCAGCCAGACGGCTCCGATTGGTGAGTCTTGATCCAAGTGGACCACCATAACACTCAAGTGAAGTAGTTATTTCTCTCATTAAGGAAACTACTCACAAGGTTGCTGAAAACTCTTCGACAGCCCACGACCGGTTTCGCCCTTCTTGGGGCTCATCAGGTAGTCGCAGTCCCCGAGTTTCCGTCAACCTTATGATCTACTTGAACTCAAATTGGACTGTTTCCGAGAAATACACTCATTTGCAAATCGATTTGGTTTTCACCGGACACTCAATTGAATATCTCGTTTATGATGTCCTCCAGCCGAATATCGTACCAACTGAATCATGAGGTGGCCTGTGTGCAGCACATTCAGCTGAAGGACATCATAAACGAGAGATTCAATTGAGTCTCCCGTGAAAACCAGTTATATCTCCGTTTTAAATTAACTTTCAGGTACAGGGAACGCATGACATCAAGTTACAGTTGGGAGATTGCGATGATGTGTGGAGTGCTCTGGAAAGCCCACTGAAACTGCAGAATCCAAAAAGTCTCCGGGCACACGTAATTAACATCCAAGTACGCCTAAAAAACAAAACACCGTTTCAGCTGACAGTTCATTTTGCAAGCGAGGATAGTCTATGCTGAAAGGAGTAATGGAAAGTGCGACTCTCATAAATATGGCATCATTAGTTCGCTGATGGTAAATGTGAATGAATTCCGCAGCCCACAGAAAAGATGCAACAATTTTAATCTTTCAATCATACAGTTCAAGTCACGTGATATGACGTTATTTAATGAAGCGAAGGAATGTCAAACTATCGATTAGCTTCAGTCGGATTCTCCTCAAAAAAAACTGGGGCTTCATTAGATATCAGGACTAAGCAAGCACCTTTCTTCGCTTGATGTGTCACGTGCCTGATTTCGTTACAGAATTACGATCCGGCCCTAGATAAGCTGGAGTTTTGAGTTGACTATCACGCTCCACAATAACGCACTGATGATGTCACCTCGATTGGTGATGAAACGTTTGCAATCAAATTGCCCAGCTCAGCGAACAAGCCAACGACCACCATCCACGATACCTGAGCTACCAACATTTTCCTCTATAGATCACTGAGGGTGTGTTTGGATTACCGCGACAACAAGTTGTTTGATGGAAGGATTCTCAATTCACCGGTCCGAAATGTATGCATTCACAAACTAATTTATTTTTAACTAGAGACTCAGAAAAAAATTAACTGAATATCTCGAATATCATATAAACTGAAAAATTCTAAATTCACCAAGCCGAAATGTATGCATTTGCAAACTAATTTATTTTTAACGACAGATTCAGAAAAGAATTAATTGAATATCTCGAATATCATATAAACTGAAACTTGAGGTGGGTGTTATGAGGCTCATTCAGTTGGAGAAAAGCGTAAACCAGAGCGTTAGCTGGAATTCAGCTGAGCCTCCTATCAAAAAATCGAATTCGTGTGCAAATCACAGTATTTGTCAGAATCTGTCTGCCCAATTTGGGTTCACCTGGAACACAAATTTGGCAGAAATTTGCTGAGGCGTGGTACTCCACACAAAAATCAATCAATAAACACATCGAAATTGACCCAATCTATCAGCCGTTAGGAGCAAAAGAACCACACAGTCACGGGGCTCTGAGCCAAGAGACCTAACGACAACCAACCGACTAATTGGATCAAAGGAAGATAGTCACTGAAAAACAGAAGGCCGCTGAATCAACCAATCAAGGGAACAAACTCACACCACAAAGCAAGAAGAAAACTGCCGAATCACAAGAAAACAACCACACACATTTGTTTAACTGAACGCATTCAACGAATCAAACAGACACAAGTGAGTAGGATGAGACAGGAGATTGAGATCACGTCAGATTCACAGGAGGCCAATCAAACTACGCGAAGAGCCGTTTTAGAACTACCAGCTACTGTTTAGGTGCTATATAGTCACAGGCAGAAGTGGAGAAATTCACTCACTCAACCCTGCACTGACGATGTCACCTCGACTGGTGATGAAACGTTTGCAATCCAACTGTCAAGCTCAGCGAATAGACCAACAACCAAGCAGCGCACTCGAGCTACCTACATTCCACAACATTGCCGCTTTGTCCACCTGATGAGCTCCAAGAAAGGCGGTCGAAACCGGCAATGGGCAGCCAGATACAAGTCGCGTGTCACTTATCCAAATATCACCATCAGTGAAAGTCAAAACAGGAGTTTGCAAGGTTATTTTTTACCGTATGCGTTCACGACCTGTGTTCAATCACAAGTAAATGATATTGTGGTGTAGTATCAACAGTGCTCCCTTATCCTTATGCATCAGAACAGCAAGTTATCATTTTCTGCTTGAATCCAAGTAAACTAACTCTAAAAAGTCCTGACCGCTAGCCATCACTTGTGAGTCACTGGATTCGTCATCCTGAACCCACTTACGTGTACTATAACTCAAGGTCACCCAAACTAGTAACCTGGCTTATTTGCCTCACCATCAACTGGATTTTAAAAACTCCAGGCATTTTTGCTTTATACTCGCAGGATAAAAGTTTCACCTGTCCTTTCAAGCCCATCTTCTCTACCGTTGGGTTCTATTAATCAATAGCTTTTTGAAGAAACCGTACTACGTTATTGTTAGCAAGCGAAACGTTGGAACATATCAAGTCCGCAGGAATTTATTGGGTTTATGGTCAGTGCGCACTTTGACGCTTGTACTAACTGAACTCGGAACGTCCTCTCCATCCTGGACTTCATCCAGTGCCTATAAGTGGCTCAAGTCGAAATTCTTCTTGCTTTCAAGGACTACCTCGAACTGATATATAACCTGATTCCTTTTCTGCATGATGCGCCCTCATCGTCGTTTGTCACATCAGCGTCTGACGTATATTTCGAGAATTTACCTCCAAGTGTTGACTTATCAGGTGAGATTTTTTTCTGTCAGTAAATCCAGTTTATGCTGAAAAGCCGAGAAATATTGTGCAGCACTTCAATTCTTGGTGGGGAACGTCAGTAGCACACGTTCAACGGAAATCAGAGAGTTTGGAGCCCGTGGACGGATACTTAACCGTCTGGTCACGAGCGGATGAAAAGTAGTGTGATTAGCTCTGATTTGGACAGGGTATAACGCCGCTTTTCCTCCAATCACGTATTGACTTTTTACTCAAGTGACTACTCCACAGATTTGAGTTTCCTCCCCGCATCCACTTATAAACTGATCGTAATGCGAGGAGATTTTGTAGTTTTCGGCTGAGATCTCGTCCTTGAATTAATCTGCTTAGATTCGGCTGCGCTAACTAATCACAAAAAGGTATTTTGTCACCTCAATTCACTGTAGACCACTCATCCTGCCTCGTGCCATAATCGGCCTTCACTGTGACATTTCCATGTGACCTTTACTAACGAGAGACATTTAAACGTTCGAATTCGTGTGTAGTGTAGTTAAAATTCGGACAAATCAGTCTGACCAGTCGAATCCCGTCTATTCGATTTGCTTCTGTTCTGGGGCTAATTTTGAGGGTTGCATGGAAGCCCCTATCGAGTAAATCAAATTGGCGAGGTAGTGGTTGATCGGATGGCAGTTGATCTGTTCGCCGAGCTTGGCAATTGGCTTGTAAACGTTTCATCCCCAGTCGAGGAGACACCGTCAGTGCGCAGTCGACTGGGGACGGAACGTTTGCAATCCAATTGCCAAGCTCGGCGAACAGATCAACTGCCATCCGATAAACCACCAGTAAACACACCCGAGCTATCCATATTTCGACAAACTGACAAATTGGCGAGGTTTTGCCGCGTTTCATGTACAGTTAGTTAACTTGTCAACATCCCGAGCATCAGGATGGAAAACGGGAGCTCCTGTGTATAACTTGGTTGAGAGAATCGACCTTTCCGAATTATAAGCAACACGCGTTAAATTTCCAAGACTGACTGGTAAATCCTTGATCGTGATGCAAGAAGTAAAACTGGACCAGTATTAGAAGAAAACACCATTTCAAAATGCATGTAATCGGTTCAGTTTTCTAAACATAGAAGTCATTCTTAGACCAATTTATTGGAAATTTAATCATGACAATCCGAACAATGCCAGGGAGAGGGCCAAGTCTAGTTACCTTGGAGAACATCCTAATGAGGGGACTCAGGAAATGCATTCCACACGGTGTGAGTGGGGAGTGTTTCCGTCAGGGATATGTGATCCTCAAAAATCAACTGTAGTGAGGAAGGATGGAATTCATTTTTGACGAGAGTCAGTAGCAGTTGTCAGTAATACTGGCTCTAGGATTCACAGGCCATAAACCGACAGTTTATGTGGTGCACGGGACAGCACTACGGTGCAACGTTAGCTTCAGCTATACTAGCCTGGGTGATGATTGCTGCTGTACGTGGTGACACGGGGGGGGGAGGGTTTGAGATGCCTTCAGGTGCTGGTGTTAGACAGTGTCAGGGAATTGGTAACAAGATGTGCCATGAAAACCGGTAGCCCGAAAAGTTGTCGCAAATCACCCCTTGCGAAAGCTGATATGGTTATACATTTGAATTTTAACCTGTATATCAAATATGGGACTGAAGAGAGGTTATACAGCATGAACTAAACGTACTGTTTACGCTTGAATTAAACCGGCTGCTCGGGTTTAATCGAGGCCTTAGCATACTTATTCTTCTCTCTTTCCCTCCTTGTAGACCACAGGCTACTCACACGCGTCCTCAGTAGTATGAATCGTTACACACCTTCCCATTTAAAGATACCGTTCGTGCCTTCGATGTTTCGTCTTCCTCAGCAGTTGGACATCTCTTTGAATGTATCATGCCACTTCGAATCTGAGATTCTGGGAATGACTAAAAAGCACTTCAGAGTGCCGAAGACTAGCACGAGAGCATCTTGGGATTGGAAATGGAAAATTAACAAAATACCCTCCTGAAATCATTGACAAAGTATTGTCTTTAAATCTAGATGAGGGTGATAAACATAGATTATCTCTGAGATCAACCAATGGGTTTGTTCAGACCCATTCGTGTGTTGTAGCACAACTCTATGATGTAATTGGTAGAAAGGATCACAACGCTTGCAATGAGAATGACAGATTCAGATATATATGTGCATCTGATCGGGACAGAGGAGAAGAAGTCCATCATATGCCCTTCAGACCCATTGATATGAGTGTGGTAACGAAAAGGATTTGGTTCAACCACCTCCATGAATCTCTTTCGTTCCACCTACAAGCAACTCGACCAGTACACTGCAGTCAGTGCCGCCATGTCTTTGTAGTTCAAGCGGCGATCAAGAGGGCTGTCCTTTCGTCGGATGCATTTTTGTAGACGATAAACTTGCACCAATAGGGACCAACCTGTGATTTCTGGTTGCTGGATAATCTCCCGTCAACCATGTTCTAGCATCATCTATAATATTGGAGATTTTCGACCGTGAATCACTTGGGCAGGCTAAATCCAACCAACTCGGAAAGCATGCTTCTTGCCGTTCCGGAAACCCGACGTGAAATGCGGGCCGAGGATGAATCAGTCTGTAAACAAAAGAACTTAGCCCGTATTGGTAAGAATTAGGACAAATGCTCACATACAAAGCATTGGATTCCGATGAGTAGTCATCGATGTTCAAAGATGCAGAACCATGAGCATTCTCATAGTTGTTAATCAGTGGTCGCGAGGATTTGGTTTTTTTCGGGTGGAAGCTTGCAGTTTCGACTATACCACCTGCAGAACTCTCGACCATTAAATATCCTGTATTCCGCGTCGCCATGTATCATATGGCTGCCAAGCAAAAAATCGCCCCAACCACACATTGTACAACACTAAATACGCCCTACCGATGGAAGTAAGAAGGCCTCCGCTGCGGAGTTATTCACTGGAAAACACCAACTGAACAGTTATAGACTATTGGACAGGGAAGCACAACTCTCATATGCATCTTGCTCATAAAAACTGAGTATCTGTCTTCTCGAACGACTCTTCCTGGACTTTCCTGGATGCTCATTAACCACCACTCGGATATAAACGAATGCTACCAAGCAACTCCACATATTCCTTAATAAATCTCATTTTTCAATGGACTCGAAGCGGATATATGAGAAAACCGCGTGCTACTTGCATGCTCCATCAGTAGTATTCACCGTTACACCGGTAACCTTCTGATTCCTTCTGATTCCCGAATACGTTTGGCTCATAAATGGGTCACACACTGTTGGCAAACCTAAGGACACCTTTGGAGTGTTCTTCTAACTGATAGGCCAAAGTTTTGGCCGTAATTTTTTATGAATTCATACAGATCGTCATACTGGCATTGTGAATGCTGTTCACCCATAGTAGTTTTGTGGCCACTCACTCAAAGTGGCGTCACTCAAAGTTCCGTATCGGGATCCTCAACACCTATAAAACTGAGGTGCAATATCCTCTCATTTCTTTTTTCGTGAAGATTACCGCAGAGGCGTAAAAAATTTACCTCTATTATTTGGCTACTTGAATCACCTGAGTAGTATATTTCTGATTCTGTAGGCCCTACAGGTAATCAAAGACACTTTTTTCATGTTATGGGCGATGTGATTTCAAATGCACTTCACAGATTTCAGACACACTTTTGAGGTGAACTGATTAAGCTTAGCCTTAGTTCTGAACGTTCAACGTAGTCAATGAATAAATGATTAGAGCAATCAGATTTCTGAGCTTCAGTCAAGCGTGTCAGGATGTCCGAGGAATCTCTGAAAATTACTCCCTCCCACAAGATTACATCAGATACATACTGGAGGTGGAAAATTGAAAAAGAACTCGAAATTATAGTTAAAACGGGATGCTGTTGAGGCCGTCCGGTCAAAATTCCTGTACCACCTTTCTTCACAAACTTTGAACACCAAAATATGGAAAAAATACTGTGGTCTACGCGGTATCTTGGGGCCAGATTTAACAGGCGCAAAACTGCTCGGGAGCCGGAACGATCACAATCGAACTTCGGCGAAATTTCAGTCAGACCTATCCAGCCACGAGTGCGTTAGAAAGAAACGTTTGCATCGACATTGGGGCAACCAAATGGGACGATTACAGGAACATCGTGAAACGTTATGAACTGAGGCACATTCAAAACCAAAGGATTCAAAAGGCACATATTCCGGTGAGTGAGATAAAACAAATCTATTCAAAGTGCTAACGAGTATTTCAAATTTGAAGGTACTTTTCGTATGAGGTGCACTACACAATAGCCGGCACAACATTAGTGTGAACCCACTAAGGATTCATTCTAAAACTGGAAAGCAACACGCAGAAGCTGAGTTAAGATATTACGTTGTGTGTAGGTAGTATCATGACTGAACTTAAGTAGCTCCATCAAAGTATTACCAGGAGCCACTAATGACAAAGCGGGAAAAAACTAGGGTAAATGACACTTTTGAGATGACACTTATGACTTGGTTAGTGTGCAATAAACGGGTGACCGAGTGTCCTTCATTGTTCAATCCTTCACGTCTGTGATGCTTTGTTCTGGATACAGCACTCACGATGCGACTGGCACCGAATATGGGACTGGTACCACGGATCTGGTATGACGAAAACCGTTGGTACCCAAAATCCATGCGGATCTAAACTCAGATTATTGGCCAAAATCGTTGGTATCCAAAGTCCATGCGGATCTAAACTCAGCTTATTGGCACTGGTTAGGCTACTTCAATTCTACTCACTTGAGCGATAAAAATTCTAGACGGTCGACTAAACGTTTCGTCCTTTATTGGGCTCACCAGGTAGATGGAGCTTCCATATTCCCATGAAGTTTACCTTGTTCTTGAACATTTGTACATGTGTTGCGACAGACACTCATTTTTTGACGGGCGACCCAACTGATAGGGGTGACGAGAGATCCAACTTCATTTTATTTGAGTTTCCTTTAAACGTAAACTTTCACATGTGACCGCAGCTTGATTAGAATTTGTGGTATGGACTCACTTGAGGAGCTACTACAAGCAAGTAACAGGCGGTCGGCTGTCCAGGATCTTCATCGACCTTGTGAGGACTAATGCAACATATGTCGGCATCTTGTATATTGTTCCAAATTAAGCGTAAGGTGGCTTCGAAAAGAGATTTGGATGAATTCCAGCTGAGTCTTTCGTCGGCAACAAGGTGACACAAAGCTGACTATTAAGAACGGAAACCATATTCATCAACTAGATCCAAGAATTCTTCAAGGTCTTCCACATAGCGGACCACATGTGGATGATGGCTAAGACTGATGAACTATCAGGACGTTAACTGGTCGATGATCAAGTGTCTCTTGATCTGCTCGCCGAGCTACTTTGCAAACTCTTCGTCATCAATCATGTGAACTTCAAAACTATGTACCCGAGCTACTAGTGTAACGGTGAATACTACTGATGAGGCATGCGAGTAGTGTCTTCTCGCAAATCCACTTCGCGTCTCTTGAAAAGGGAGATCTATTACGGAGTTAGTGGAATCGCTTTGTAGCATTTGCGTGCATGTGAGTAACAGTCAGTGAATATCCAGAAAAGTTCAGGAAGACGCGTTCAAGGAGAAGATGGATATTCAGTTCTTTAAACAAGAAGCAGATGAGAGTTTTTCTCCCCTGTCCAATAGTCTGCAACTGTTCAGTTGGTGCTTCTCTAATAAACAACTGCGCAGCAAAGGCCCTCTTCCTTTCACTAGTATTTCCGTATGAGCCTCAATTTCTGCATATATCCTCGGGCACTCTGATATAGGCCATCCAGTTCAATTGTTTGAATTATTTCCACGAGCCACTAAGAAGTAGACAAATTGCAGTGTGTTCACTTGGAAGACACGCACGCTGCATCCGCGATACGGTTTGCCGATAAACGCAACCCGTCTCCAATAATGTTGAATGTATCAAGGACCAATCATCACTATCGCTATCTGATCTCTTTCGAATCTCTTAACTTTCAGGTTAATCGAAACTTGATGATAGTGTGAGCAGGTTAGTTAGGTTTCAATTCAGTTTTCGACTTGTAGGTGAAGCCAGTCTATATACTAAAATGCCAACAACCTCATTGTAACAGTTCCATCCTTATCGAGGATCATCAGTAGTGGGCATCCAACGAAAATCGAATACGGGGTTTTGAACCAGTGGTTGAACACTTAACCGTTCGGCCAGAGGCGCTATTGGGCCACACATCCTTCAATCACACACGCAAAATCACATGATTCTGGCTCCTCAAGTGACAAATTCTCAGATAGAAGTTTTACTCATCTCGTTAGGTTATTCTTCCTGTGAGCCACCTATAAATTAATCGTAATGTGAGGAGATTTTGTAGTTTTCAGTGTACACCGGGCCGCCCGCTTTGAGCAACAATTAGTTTTTCACGTGACATTTCACATAACCTTTACTACTGAGTTATATTTAAACATCTAGAGTGCAGTTTAAGTTCAGGCAAATAGGTCTGAACAGTCAAATCTCTAGGTCGGGCACTTTCGACCCTCCGATATGTTTCCCTCCTGCGTGATGCTGAAGGCTTGGGCAACCTGGCAGTATCCCAGCCCCCGTGCAACCTTTGGGTGGCATGTCTGTTAGGCACCGAAAGGGTGCTACGATTGTGAGGGCTATATGAAAACCCATACTGAGTCACTTAAACTGGAGTGACTGAACTGACTGGACTGACTGACTGGAGTTGCTGAACTACTAAGGCAGAATAAACAGGGTGGTAACTTGGTAGTTGCACTTTTTGTACTGTGTGGCGGCTACCCGCTTGCCTTAAATCTCGACCAACCTCGGAACCTAGTCACTTGGTCTGACGAAGCTTTTGTGTCAAAGGCGAAACGTTGCCCAGCGATAAATCTACCGATTGTCGCCAAACTTTTTCGAAAACCCTCTTGTCTACTTACCCCTGGAACTAATTTCGTTAGTACATTCACATTCACGAGCATCACCTACCATTTAATCAGCAGCTACTTCTCTCTTTCGCTAAGGGAGGAGTATTTGTAGAGGTCAGTCCTCAGATCACGCGTCACAAACACTCAAACCACGTGACAATTCCTGTCCCACTTGCAACCTTAGCTGACAACATGTACAGTAAAACTTCTCGCCCATTTTTGTTCACTCGGCTACTACTTGCGTCACGCGCCAGGATTATGAACTCCATTCATCACATCAGGTCAAGGTGTATTCATGTTTTCGTGCAAGCGTCAAATACGAAGGGACACCCCCCTCTTCACACTGCACTCGGCCCAATCCACACACTAGCGCTCGCGCCCGCAGGGAGCAGGAAGTCAACCACTCTCCACAAGTTCACGGACAATTATGGAACACTTGTAGCAGCCATACTGCGGAGAAACCACGTTCCCGCCGTCCGGACTTTCACCAGGGAACTCTCACGGATGACAAGTTCCTCTTTTGCATTGTATTTATTTTCATACGTGTGGCATCTAACCATTGTCAACTATACTAAAAACCTTTATTAGTGCATATACCTTCTGATTTGTGTTATGGCCATCATCAGCAGTGCACTAATACCTCCGTACTAAAACTTTACAATATTATTTGCGTCTTTTCGCAATGATACGAGGATCGTAACTTGGCCTATTTTG